CGAAGGAAACCCAAGAACAGAGAAAAACGGATAAAGAAATAAAGAGAAAGGGAAGCAAAGAAGAAGATAGAAAAAAAAAAAAAAAAAAAAAAAAAAAAAAAAAAAAAAAAAAAAAAAAAAAAAGGAGAAGAAAGGAAAAAGAAGGAGATAAAAGGGGATCGGAAACAAGGAAGGGAAAGAGTGAGAGAAGAAACAGGTGGACAAGAAGAAGGCAAGCAATTACTTATGAATTTGAGTTATCCATAGGAGGAAAGGAAGGATCAATCAAGATAAGGATAGAAGAAGAAACACGAAGGGAGATTTAAAATGGAGACTCAAGAGGAAGGGGGGGATTACCAAGAAGAACTATTGGGATATTTACTCATCTATCAAAGGAAAGGAAGTCCAATAACAGCTCAAGAAGGCGTAACTCAATGAAAAGAACATTCTATCTAAACCAAATTAACGATCACTAATTACCCAATCAACTATTTATCACATCGAAAACCCCAGATTTTTTATTGCTCAATGTTGTTACTGTGCAGATGGATCATTTGCTGAAAACTTTTCTAACTGCCTCTGGCCCCCAGTCTGTCATTGGAGCGGAAATTTATGTCGTGCTTCCTATACTGCCCCCTGCCTTCTCACCTGCTAAAATCATTGATTGCATCAACTCCCTCGCCCATGACATCTCCGATCCCCTCTTCACAATTCAACCTGAAAATTCTGATCAATTGCACAGAGTTCATGCCCTTGCAATCAAAATGAAGAACCCAATTCCCCCTCCACTGCCCCAACCACCCGTACCCACCTCTCCACCCCCCCCTATCAGATCTAATCCACAACTCTTTCTCAATTCCTCAGAACCCTGCTCTTCCTCATCTAATCTTCCAGCTTCAATCACCATCGAAGCATTTCAGCAACTCAAGCACCAGTTGCTCCTCAAGGAAGAAAAGAATCGGATATCCATTCAAAAACTCCAGGAGCAGTTACTTCAGCGCGATGAAGAAAACCAGGCTCTCACTCAACTCTACCAGAAAATTCATTCGGAGATGGACGTCATTCTTGGCAAGCTCAATGAGAAATCTCAACCAGCGTACGAGGAGTTATCCGCCTACAAAAAGTTTTTTGTCTCGCCGTTCTACCATTCCCAGATTGAAGCTTACATCCGCTTCTTGGCAGTCAGCATGAATTACTCGTATTATCCTATTGGGAAATTTGTGGCCTCGGATTTCGGTTCAAGAGTAGCCGCTATTGCCAAGGACTGCCTAGACTCCCGTATCACCAAGGAAATCAAATCCCAATTGTCAAAGGCCATGAGGGAGGGCATGGACAAGGCGCTTCCACTTATCAACTCCGAATTCAATTACTGCATGAACGTCGTCCGCAGAGAAGCTCACAGGTAAGTAAGGGGTCATCGCCCCGACCTATCTATTTTATCGCCCTGGACTGCCAATAAGTCCACACCATTTGCGTACAAGGGTTTATCTTCCATTCTCTTTTTATGCAGGTTGGGATTATCTGAAGCTGATTCATTCCTCTATCGCAAGAAGGAAAATCACTCCAAGTCTGATGATCATAAGAAGACTTGCTCCTCCAAGCGTCACTACGAGGATGACAGGGACCGGGGCTATGACTACTTCCGCGCTTCCAAGAAGGCCTTCATCGACCAGCATGACCAGTCTCATTCCACCCCCAAAGGCTTTACTCGACCCTCCAAATGGTACCCCCTTCACTATTCCCTTCATTCCAACCATTCTCATTAATCTTTCATCCATCCCCTCAACCCAAGATCTTCACACTGACCTATTCGTTTTTCAAGAGCCGTCCTCTTGGCTTCGCAGCCCTGATAACTTTTTCGCCGCATCATCATCCCACCATTTCTCAAACTGGTCACTCCTACGCTTCTCCACCTCTAGAAGATTCTCTTACTATGTTCTCCAACGGATCCAGCATGGCGTTCAAATTAACTTCAAGGGTTCATCGCACGTTCCAACCTCTGAGGCCATTGAAGTCCGTCGAATGGTAAAAAAAATATTCCCTGCCTCCTCCTTCAAAAAGGCTTTGCGTTGCAATTCACCACCACCGCTCCATATTCCCAATCACGTCAACCCACCCCACCACTGTGATTTCATCTCTTTAACAATAACTCAACTCGTTTCTTCCAAAGTCATCGAAATATCTCTCAATCCTATCGTAATTAATCCCGTCTTTGTAATCGAGAGTTCATCAAAAACTAGATTTATTCTGGATGTGCGTTTTGTCAATCTTTTTGTCACCTTCCCAAACTTTCATTATGAAACAATCGATGACTTAACTGCTCACCTATCCGGTTCCCCTACCAAAAACTTCCTTTCCTATTTCGACATAAAGAATGAATACTATCACATTCCAGTGCATCCTCTTTTCCGTCTCTATCTCGCCTTTCAATGGAACGACATTACCAACAGTTTACAACCCTTTGCTTCGGCATCCCATCTGCATGTTGGATCTTCACAACGATAATGCAAGAAGTAATGGTCGAAATCTGCCTCCACAAAGTTCACATTGCCTCTTACATCGATGACTCAGCTCTTGGTCACAATGACCTCCCAACTCTTATCTAGCAAACCTTCAATTACGCCGTCCTTCTACACAACCTCGGTTTTTTTATAAGTCTCCACAAGTGTTTTTTCCTTCCTTCTCAATCTATTTGTTTCCTGGGTTTCAACATCGACTCTCATTTTAAACGCATAAAGGTACCCGAAGACAAAATCATTAAGATACCTAACCTCATTCAAGACACCAAATCTAATAACTCTTGCAGATCTATAGCAAAGCTTGCTGGTAAACTCACATCACTCTCAAGAGTCTTCCTTCCCACCCTCCTATACCTCTCTTCACTTTATGAGACCATCTGCCCGTCTAATTGGGACTCTTCTGTGACGATTTCCTCTGACCTTATCAACAACCTTCTCTGGTGGGTTATTCACTTGTCGTACCTCCCAGGAAGGGACCGTCCGCCCCCCAACACTTACTATTTTTACTGACGCTTCCGCTTTCCAAATCGCTGCTATCATACACCCCATCAACTTGCAACCTCTCTCACTAAACCAATGTCTCCCCTCTTACCTTCTTCAATCCTCCTCCACGCATAGAGAACTGTTCGCAATTTTTCAAACCTTCCGCTTCTTTGCCACGTTTCATCCTCATCTCTTACCCTCCGCCTCTATCAAACTTCACACCGATAGTCAAGCAGCTTCGACACTTCTCTCCTGGATGAAATCCACAAATCACGATTTCAACCCGTGGCTAAGGGACATAGCTTCTTTTATCATTTCCTTTGACGCAATTCTTTACCCAATTTAGATACCTAGATCCCTCAATGTAGACGCCGACCTATTATCTAAAACAAAGGATAATACATATTCAGGCCTCACCAACCATATCAAGAATACCATCTTCTCAGAGTTAGGAGTGTCAATTATAGACCTATTTGCCTCAAATTTCCATCATGTATACCCCACCTTTATCTCAGGAGATTGGTCAGTTAATGCTTCCCTAATCGACGCCCTCTCCTTGGATTGTAACTCCCTCCCTTCGCACCTTTATAGGTATGCCTTTCCCCCTGCCGTGCTCCTCCATCACGTACTCTCTAAAATAAGTGTCAACCCTGCTCCTTACCTTCTCGTCTTACTCGCATCCAAGAAGGCCTCCTGGTATCCCCGTATTCTCAATCTCAACATTGTCAACAGATTCACCATCCCCCCATGAGGCTCCCCCTTCTCCTGCTTCCCCAACCCCCGTGTCAGCAACCTCATTCTCAATCCTGGAATCCTTGGCCTCATAACAATTTTCATCCCCATCACTCCTTCGTTTCCATCCCCGCTTCATCCCATATCCATATCGCATAAACGTCCCTACCTGACTCCACGTACCCTGTTGCATCATCTCTCCCAAACTCCACCCTTCCTCAATACCCGCTTGTACCCCTCCTATTATAAAACTATGACCACTCTCCCCCTCAAAAACCCGAGCCGCTTCAAACCACTTCTCTATACGCTTATTAAAAACCCCTCCGCTCATTGGACCATCCCCACGCACCGGCCGGAACACATAACCACTTCGCAAATATTGCCCCACTCGCTCATAACTAGCCATCATTTCAGGCAACCATCCCAGGAAGGTTTCCTCCTCACTCATTGGATCCCGCAACCGTATCATAAACCAACTGCCTTGCCGATCAGTCTTTGTAATTCCAGGCCCCGCTATCCCACGCTCAAAATCAATCTCCTTGTACTGTAATCTCAACCCTTCCCCGCATCGCTGCCAGCTCTCCCACAAGTACAAGAACGCGCCCCCATCACGATAAGTTTGTGCCTCTGTATATCCCTTCATAGCTTTCATTTCCTCTCGTATATGCCTTATCACTACTCTCAGTTTTTCCCACTGCATTGGCCGCGCAGACTCCTCAATTACACCTCTCTGTAAACTATACTCTCGATATGATTTTCTAAACACCTTTACTCTACTTCTCTAACATGGATCATTCTCCCCCTCCCTGCCAAGCAATCGGAAACATCCACTCAAACAGTTCACCACGACAACAACTGTGGAAGGCGACACCATCGGAAGCCCCTCAGCGTTTGAAGTCCGGCATCGACTCTCGATTTTAACCAGCCACTAGCCGCTTAAGAAGGACAAGATATCAAGGTCGCAGCAAGTCATGTAACTCCTTCCAATCTCATTTCTTTCAAGCCATTCATTCAAAGCAAGCAACATCTTCTTCATTCCGCTCTTCCATCGCCTCCCAACTCTGAACTCTCTGATTATGGCGCTACTCCACTCAAGGCCAGCTATGTACGTTCCTTCAACTGAGGGAGTCGCTCGCTTCTGCCTCCAACCGCCATCACTTGTTCGCTCGTTCCACCATTCCCTGCAAGACGACGAAGTCACTTGCGGGAAGATGGAGGGATGTGGGTTGGCTTAGGAGGTGTGCGGGTTTGCGGCCCACCTTCCTGACTCGCTCCTATGAGATCTGGCATCTTCTGCGGCTTCATCTTTTTCTGCTTTATTTGGAACAGTCCTGGGAAGCATTGTGCTAAGTCAAAAAAGGACCGAGAATTCAAGGGGTTCCAGCAACCACTTCAGTTCCAACCGTCCGGTTATTCCGGTTGGCCCCCCACATCGGCACCGGTTCTGGGTATCCGAACCAACTGAGATCACATTCATGCATTTTCAACATCTACGACTATGCAGGACTTTTGTTTCAGTCATCATGACATTCAACGAAGATCAACGAGTCACAAGACAAACAGTCAAAATCTACGGAGTTCCACCTTTTGACCTACGGAGTCCCATCGGGAGACGTGACACTCACCCATGTTGAAGAACGACCTCGCCAACCCGAGTGGTACCACTGCCTTGACCAGAAACAGTATAAGTGACAGGGGTCTGGCCTGTCACTACAGCTTGTGTTGTCTCTCGCGCTGCACCCTCCAGACTGCGCCCGCTCGCAGCACTCATTGCATATGCAAACCTGCACAGGAACACAAGGGGTCAGGTCCTACGGAGTGCGAGTCGATTCTCCTCGCCTTTTTGGCGAAGCACGCCCGCCTGCCCTCGATTTCCCCGTGGTGTATGGGCCTGCAGCCCACCTTCCTGACTTGCTCCTATAAGATTTGTGGCTTCATCTTTTTCTGCTTTACTTCGAACAGTCCTGGGAAGTACTTGGGTTTTTTCTCAAAATATGCGAAATGCATGCTTCAGCATGACAACCGTCAGAGAAGGGAGTCCCATCAGGCACACGAAGGGACTCCCTCGCAGTGAGACTGCAACAGTCACGTACCACTCTGTCCTCATTAGGCATTGGCTGGGTGGGGAGCAGGGGGAGGAGACGGGAGGGTTAGTGGGGCGGCAGCGCTTTCAGCCTGCTTCCCATCTTGGGAAATGTAACGTTTCCATTTTTCTTTTTTTTAAGTCTTTAAAATTATTTTTCTTCCTTTTTTTACAGTGCCGCACAGGTCCAAATAGGCCATGACTGGTGTGCTAGTGGAACCGTGCCCCAGCGTTCGTTCGGGTTACCCTGCATAGGACTGTAAATGAACGTGTCGCTGATGGGGGACCCGGAAAACTCGCGGCCGAAACCGCGTACGTGGACCAAAACAATCGAACGCACTCATAGGAAGCCCCATTCATCTGAACGTCAGTTTATGTGCACGAAAATGGAGCGTTCATGCAAACCACAGATCCAAACACACGTCCATATTTAACCCGTTAGGAATCAAAAGTGTGACCCTAGGACCCAATGTACGTGGCCCGCAAGATACGTCAAGGCACATAGAGTCAGTCCTGTTCTGATTTCACGTTAGGCCGATGCAGACCTGATAGAATCCACTCATCTGACCAGGTGAACGCTTCCTTAGTGAACCTGTTCCAATGCATAATCCACCAATCCCAAATTCTTCTGGATGCAGGGCAGGAGATCCATAAGTGCCTATTGTTTTCCCAAGGCCATCTACAGCGAGCAAAGATTGTCGAGATCTGCATACCTCTATTCACCAGAGACAGGGCCGAGGCAGCGGCCAGATATGTTTGTAGCCAAACTATACTGGCCAATTTCTGAGACGGCATGCACTTGAATTGCCTCCATAAAAAAGATAACTGGTCTTCAGAGATCATCAACAAATCTCCTTCCGATCTTCTCTTGGTCACAACCGCGACAGGAGACTTCTCCACAGAGTTCCGTTGGAGTGCAACACCCACCTTGGCCTTATAAGCCTCTAGCGTGACACTTCTGAATTTCTGGTTGACCTCCCAGCCCACTGTCATAGAATCCACTGTTGCAAGAGCCAGGGGTTTCAACCCCATTGGAAGGGTGGCCGACCATCTAGAGCCACGAACACACCCGGACTTAGATAACTGCAGTTTGACCACAACTTCTTGCATCCCTTCCAAGGAATTTAGTCGAAGAGGAACAAGCTTTTGTACAAGCTCCTTGGAAAATTCCACATTATCCGGAACATGCCATTCAATAGCCTTCTAACCCTCCTCTCCCAAATCATCAGTAATATGAAAGATGTTGTCCGGCGCAGAGGCAGGATCTTTGAGCCAAAGACCAGAAGGGGGGATATGAATATCAGTTAGCAAGTAGATCCAGGCACGCGGAATGGCCTGTTGAATTTCTCTTAGCCTACTAGAGACCTGACGCAATCTATATAAGTTCAACTTAAGATCTTCCTCTGAGCGCCAGTCTCCTTTTCTGGAATCCCACAAGTCAGCTAATCTTACCACACCTCTCCCAATCCAGGCCCTGCCAAAACACCCAGTTGCCTCTCTTGCTGAAAACTCCTCGCCACGCGAGTCCCTGATCAATGGGTTTTCGAAGATAATCTGGTTCAAGACGGCCTCTTTAGACTGAGGGTGCTCTCTTACTGTGGAAAACAACTTTCTCCAGGCCAACAGAATGCTCTTCCAAAAATTAGACTTCGGTTGTTTCTGCACATAAGACTTGGTTAGAAAACAAGCTAAGACATCCTCCTTTCTGGCCAACTCTCATTCGTCCCGCAGAATATGTAAGGCAAGACGAAGCCATGGCGTACACTCATTGGAGAGCAAAGCTTTGATTGGCCATTTCACCAAAAGAGCAAGATTCTGCTGACGGGGGTCTAGAATCCCCAACCCCCCTTCATCCTTAGGGAACGTTATGGTTTCCCAGACTATCTTTGATAAAAACCCGCTTTGTGGATTGCCTTCTGGTTTCCACAAGACGCTAGCAACCGACCTCCTAACCTTCTTATAAGCATCATCTCCCAAGAGATGGACAACCAGAGAGTACCAAAGGACCGAGAACGCTGCTGAATTGATGACAAGAGCTCTCCCCGGGAGGGACAAATGACGCAGGGAGCTCCATAACGACAAACGATTTAGCACTTTTTCTTGCAGAACCGGATCCTGAAATCGTGAGTTATCAGACAAAGACACCTGCACCCCCCAAAACCGATCTGAAGTGTCTGCATGCACTTTCCTTAGTCCCCAATTCACACCCAGAGAGAAAGATTCAGGCAAAATATACACAAATTTATTCCAATTAATGAAGGCCTCCGAGAGTTCACAGTAAGTATTCAGAGTTTTCCTTAGAGTCATCAGATTAGAGCGAGAATTCAAGCAAGCCAGGGTCAAGTCGTCAGCTAAAGCACACCCTTTCCATTGAGGTTGATTTTTTAAAGTTAGCCCTTCAATGCCTTGATTTGACCTCACGTTGTCCAACAAAACTTCCATGTGGACCACAAAGAGCAGTGGCGCCGGAGGACAGCCCTGTCTCAGCGAACAGGTTAGAGAAAAGGGAGGCGACAATTGACCGTTTACCATGACTGCAGCGGAAGCACTTGAGTACGTAATTGAAACCCATCTACAAAAGTTAGGGCCAAAATTCATATGTAGCAAAGTAGTCATAACGAACGCCCAGCCCACTCAATCGTAGGCCTTCTCCATATCCAGGAGAAGGATCGTCATATTCCGATTCTCTTTAGATATTATTTCCAAGGCTTGCAGTGTACAAACAATTTTGTCCATTATCGACCTGTGCTTCACAAAGGCGCCTTGTTCCATTCCGATTATTGCTAGTAAGTATTTGGCGAGACAAAGGGCTAGAACTTTCGCTAGGAGTTTGTAAGAGACATTTAATACCGATATAGGTCTCCAGTTCCGGATGTCTGACTTCTCTCCCTTTTTATGCATTAGTATGATAATCCCCTTCATCATTGTTTTTGTCAGATTACCCCCAGTAAGGACTGCATTGTGACGAACCACTTTCTAAAACGCGCGACTTTCTGCGCGGTTGCAATGAAGGGTCCTAAGTTGGGAAGGTTGGGCCAATCACGGGAGATCGGGATCGGTGGGAAATTGCATCAGTGTCCTTGCTTTTTCGTCCTTTTTTTCGTCGCTTCTTTTCGAATGGCTGGGTTCGGAGTTGGGTGTGTCATGGGACGGTCGGTTGATTGATTGGTTGGTCGGATGGCTGGCGTGCCACCGCGCGCGCGATTAATAAATGTTGACGTCGTTTCCTTTGTTTCGGTTCCAAACTTTTGGGCGCGGACATCGCGCGGGAATTTGCTTCGTTCTTTTTGAATTTTCCTTTTCGAATTTTGTCAAGCCCCGACGGCTCTCGGAATTTCGGACTTTTTCTTCTAGCATTTGTGCCTTTTGCTTCCTCGCATTAGATAAGAATTTATAAATTTTGTAATTAGGATTTCCTTTGCCGCGAGACGCTTTTTGCTTCTTCATGCGGCTGCAACGGAACTCTGATTAGTCGGCGCCTTTAATCGTGTGTGTAACTGTAACTTTAGGCGGGCGCGATTGTAACTGTATCTTTCTTCTTGTGCTTCGTCTTTCCCGCCCTCCTTCTCTTTCTTTTGCTGCGTTTTTGGTAGCCGCGATCTGCATGATCGGACCGATGCGTGGAGAGCGGCTACGTCCCCTACGCCGCGATCAGACCATGCAGAGATAGGCAGTCCCTCCCTCTTCCCTTCTTCTAATCCCGTGTTCTTCGCGCATGCATGCACGCTATAAATTCCGGCTGCGGGATTAGTTAACTCTCTTAACCAGCTGTTGGAAGCTCAGGGTTGAGAAGTGAGTAGAGCAGGAGTCGGACAACCCCCAAACGCGCGGGGTTGACGCGGGCCACGACGAACTGTGGGCGTGGGCGAACCTGACGGGTGCGGGAGGACCAAGCGGGGTGACGACTTCGTGGGTTGGTGCGCGCCGACGGACTGTCCGCATCGGAGAAGAAGAGAGAGAGGAAGAGAGAGTTGAGATTGATGGACGCGGAGTTGCTGTTTTCTTTTATCTTTTCTCCCTCTTGTTTCGTGTATATAAGTTTTGATTTCGGCTCTGGGCGGTTTGCCCGATTTTTGTTTATCAGAATTTGGAATTGGGTTTTTGCTCACACTTGTCATTGCGATTTCTCCCACCTCCGAGGCTCTATGGGTATGATTGTTGAATGTATGGATGTATGGATGCCATGATTGATTGCTTATCTTTCTACCGGATCCTTGTCTTTGTTTTTTGTTTGTCGCATTCGATGCACTCGTGTGTAGAATAGGAATTTTGTGCAATCGATAATCCTGTCCTTGTCTTTGCTTGTCCTTTGATCGAGCTGTTGTGATCGTTGCATCTTGCATACTCAGAACATCACGGAGTAATTAGGCGATCCGATGCTGGGCTTGGCGAACGTCGCGCAAGGACACGTGTAAAGCGCGGTCTGAGTTGCGCACTTACCTGTATCCCCGGGCGTCGACTCATCAGGACCATCGATTGCAGATGCCCTGTCCGATTGGGAGTGGCCATCTCGGAATCCGCAGTGGCACAGTCGTCCCGCACGAGCACGCGTAAGTCCGACGCCATTCGCGTGGCCTGCACGTGCTCGCATACGGCGACCACGATCGCCACGGACCCGCCCTTAGGCAACTCATAATACCGCAATGACACAATGACGCGATCCTGGAATTCCGACTCATCATACGACCCAGATTACTTCACCCCTTGGATAAACGAAATCCTGAGGCAAAGATACCCCTGCCACACTGAGAACCGACTGTGTCCCCGGGAATTCCACTGCGCCTCCTCTAGCGACCCCCGGTGTTCTGATTTCCCTTCTCCGGACCATACCTATTACTTCATCCACCCCGGATTTGTCGTCATCACCACCAGTTTTCCTCCCTTTCGCCTTCTTCTTCCGTATCATCAACTCAGCATCGTTTCGTGGCCGGCCATAACCCCCTACTGGCCCAGCACACCCTGCGAGAATTGTCGACGACGCGGCGATCAGAGAACCCCGGAGTTCCGAAGGCCTAACCCGAACGCGCGCCGGCCAGCGCTACGTGGCAACTCCCGACAAACGGACTCATCGGAATCCCACCTAGCCCGAAGGGACCCGCCCGCGAACCGGTGTCCCCGAAAGCAGTGGCTCGCTCGGTCTTGAGCGACCCGCGCATACCATCTGCCATGAAACCTAACACGCCCTCTCCGCCAAATTACACTCATGCCCCCGAAAGACCCTGTCACAGGAGATCTGAGTTCCGACCTCAGACTCCACTTTCCCAAAAATCCTTGGCACACCCCTTTTCGCACTTCCAGGCCCCTATCCTACTCCGATCAGGAAGTCGCGTTGGGCGTGAGGTTGGTATCGGAGGCCGATACGTGGCTGGGTCTTAGGATCGATAGCACGTTAATTAGGTGATCTGGCTAACCGAGGGCGGCCTCGCCCCCGGAACGCGCATAGACGCGACCCTGTCATCACCCGAAGCAGATCAGTTAATCGACAAGCAGCCAAAATGGCTGCTAATGTACAGAACCCGAATCCACAACAGATTGCTAATCAACCAAATCCTAACCAACCCGTCCCACGAGCACGGGCTCCCATGACGCCACCTGATCTCTATCTATTCGATCCAGCCCATCATCTTGCAGGAGCATGGCTGGCCACGCTTAGAGCGCAACAATATGATGATCACGAGGCACAGATAAACATTCCTGCTCGGTTAGGAGGAGATGCTCATCATTGTTTTAGTACCTATGTATGGGTTGATCTCCCGACCTTCGAACGGGATTTCCTGAATCGATTTGATTATGTCCACCCAGAACAAGCACTTTACATGATCAAAGACCGAGTACAAAAACCCCTCGAGTCTGTCGCCGAGTATCGAAACCGGTTCTACCGAATGTTTGTAAAGACTGAGCCAGGCGAACAAGTCGGAGAGATTTGTTTATAGATGGTCTTCGCAACCGAACGATAAGGGCTAAATTGCGAAAGCAATTTTCCCCCATCACTCACACGCTGCAACAAATCATGGCTGCTGCGGAAGAAATGGAACGGAAGTTCGCGGCGAACTTCCTGGAAGGAGAAGATTATTCAAGGGAAAGAGATTCGTCCGAACTTGATACCAGCACCTGTAAGGGCGTTACCCCCGCCACTGGTCGAGAACCCTGTAAGATCGAGTGAGTCCGCAGGCCCATTGCAGTGCGTGCCCCTCCGGTTCAACAAGGGCTGGCCCCTGCGCCGTTTCTCGGAGGAGCAGCAAACAATCTGAACGTCTGTTATGCATGTCATCAACCAGGGCATCTAGCCCGTGATTGCCCCCACCGGCCTCCGCAACAACAGTCGGGGTCGCACCGATGGAGGCGGCTCCCATCGCTAACGGACCAGGACGAGTAGGAGCTTTGATGAAAGAAGTAGAGGGTGGGGGAAGTGCATTAGCTACCGCAGAAGAAACCGTTGAGCTCATCCTGTTAGATCAATATGTATCGCTTGGGTATCGCGGGCTTGGAATAATCGAAGATCAGCTCATTTCGGCCGACGAAGAAAAGATTAAAACAGTGGGAAGGATGACCAACATCGCTTTCCGATTAGGGAAGGTGCACGCACTGGGAGATGTCGTTGTGCTAGATGTAAATACCTACGACGTTCTTTTTGGGCTTCCCGCTCTTGTGGCATTACGAGCGAACCTGGATTTCGAGCGAAGGTCAATCATCCTCCGAAATACAGGAGGAAAGCCCCATGCTGTACCGATGAGACTGACCCTTCGTACTACCATCAACGCAGTCCCACGGGTTTCACCGATGATGGCAGGGACTCTCCGTATGATCTCCTGGGAAGAATCCGCGGATGGGGAGTCATCCAGAAATGAAGCAGACAGCAGTGATGAAAATGACCCAGAGATCCTGAAACTAATGCGACAGCGCGTTTTTTATCCGCCACCCAGAACGATCGCAAGGACGATGCATCTAACCAGTCCAAATATTCAAAGGACTAAGGCAATGATTTTAGGTGAACCCCTCTTACAAATTTCGAGGATGATCGATTCTCTGGAACCCCCTCAAACCCTGTACGAAGGAATCACCCCGCTTCTCGCCAGATACAGCGACAAAAAACATTACTGCGACATTACGGATCTACCAAGGTCCCTTTTGACGCCTGCAAAAGAAGTGCGACTGTTGCGCTTGGGGGCAGAAGCCAGTTCTTTGGAACCCCCTGGGCGCCTCGAAGCTGACTCGGACGAACTTGGAGTAAAGATCACGACTAGGACCGTACCATGGCAGGATATCTGTGACGGAATCACCCCTGAAGGACACGTGGTCATTCGGGAAAAAGACGCCCAGATGATGGCCACGGTGTTTTCCTGGCAATCGGATCATTCCTTCATTTCGGCACCCCCACCCGATGTGGCGAAACCCACACGCACAAAACAGATAGATGTACGGATCGGGGACCAGCTTTTTGAGTTACACGTGCCACAGTACGTACCCGATGAGATTCATCGATTGATTGCGGACATTTTAACGGAATATCGGGGAGCGATTAGCGTGACAGACACTAACATTGGCCTGTCGCTAGTTATTCAACACGAAATACAGACGGGGAATCACTCCCCGATCCATTGCAAGCCGTACCGATACTCCCTGATGGAGCGCAAAAAGGCTCTCGAACGAATTCGAGAATTCGAAGCCAGCGGGTGGATTGAACCCGCCACCGGACCATGGTCATTTCCAGTAGTGCTAGTACCGAAGAAAAACGGATCAATTAACATATGCATCGATTATCGCAAGTTGAATGAAATCACGATTAAAGATGTGTATCCCCTCCCCCGAATTGATGATTTGTTGGATGCGATTGGTTGTGCTAATTATTTCAGCAAGTTTGATATTCGGCATGGCTTCCATCACATTCTGGTGAAGGAGGAAGATCGGCCCAAGACAGCCTTTGTACTGTTTGAGGGCACGTGGCAGTGGGTTCGGTGTCCGATGGGAATTTGCAACGCGCCTTCCACGTTTCAGCGAGCGATGAATATGACATTCCAGAACTTCGTCAACAAGACGCGGTTAACACAAGGGATGATCAACTTCTGCGTGATCGTGTACATGGACGATATCCTTGTCTACTCGGAGACCTATCACGGACACGCGCAACACATCGAGTGGATATTGGGAGCGCTGAGAGACGCTGGGTTCAAGATCGCGCTCGAGAAGAGCGAGTTTTTCCTCTCGGAAATTTCGTTCTTGGGCTACGTCGTGACACGTGGAGGACTGCGGCCAGACTCAAGGAAGGTTGCGGGGGTAAGAGAAGCCCCAGTTCCCACGTCGCTGACGCAGGCTCGAACCTTCTTGGGGTTGGCATCGTGCTATCGCTGCTTCATCAAGGGTTTTGCCGTGATCGCACGACCACTAACGAACCTGCTACGGAAGGACCAGCCTCTCAGCTGGGACGCGGAGTGCCAACAGGCTTTCGCAACCCTCAAGGACGCTCTGGCGACGGTCCCTATTTTGATCCGGGCGGACCCCTCGAAGCAGTTTATTCTTATCACGGACTGGCAACCGGAAGCTATCTCCGCTATTCTAGCGCAGAAGGGGAACGATGGTCGCGAACACGTCATCGAGTATGCATCGCGCACGGTACCGGACGAACGGGGGAATGACTCAGCACCTCAAGGCGAATGCTATACAGTAGTCCGGGGAATCCAACACTTCCATCCGTATCTCTACGGACATAAGTTTCGCCTCGTAACAGATCACGAACCCTTGCTGGCGCTGAAGAAGCTCACTAATTACACAGGCATGATTGGTCGTTGGGCGGTACGACTACAAGAATACGACTTCTATATCGTTCATCGAAAGACAGAGCGACACGGCAATGCGGACGGACTGACACGTCTGCATCGACCTGCTAAAGTACCAAAGGGCGAGGAAATTACATCGTGGAAGGAGCCGAACTTGACAAACGAGCCTAAGTACGGACAAGTGGCAGTTCTCCCACGTGGCAAGAAGCAGGACGGTGGCAATGGGTGATGGAGGTAACCCCACTACCCCTTTTTGTCCCCTCTCCTCTTCGTCTCTCCTCTCCCTGCCTAACAAATTTTACTATTTTTGCGAAGCCATCTCCCGTGTGTACTCGGTCTCCATGCGTCCTAACGGGGAAGGGTATGCGGAATGGATAGATTGTCGACAGTGTGTCGCACGAGCCCATGGCTCGTGCATCCAATACAGAAACGACAGTAAACCGTGGTTGTGCCCCTTGTGTCGGACTTACAAGATTCCGACCCGAAAGTTTAGAAGGGCCGAAGTATGGACTGATATCGCCTTAATTGCCACCTTAGTGGGTAACCCCCTCCAGGACTTCACCAAGGAAGATCGGAGGAGGGCTAACGAGAGGGCTCGGGATTACAGATGGATAGAGGGCAGACTAGAAAAACGGAAAACGGACGGCAGTGGGATTTGGATGGTTGTACCGCATCCGTTCATGAGGTATGACTGGGTTAGGACGGCACATGAAGAAACTGTCGCCCATTTTGCCGTACGGATCACGGAGTCGGCTATCGACAAAAATGAGTGGTACTGGTCCAATATCCGCGACGATGTGAAGTACATCGTCGCCAACTGTCAAGTCTGCACCGCTGATAAAGCGTCGATTCAGCCGCGAAGATCGATGGTGCCAACGGTAGTTGAACGACCCTTTCAAAGGGTAAGTATGGATACTACCGATATAGTGGTGCCCCCAGGTCCTAATAGTTGCGAGTATTCAGTCCTATTGGTATTTGTCGATCACTTTTCGAAATGGATTGAGTCCTACCCTTGTCGCACGCGACAACCCGCCGAAATCGCGAGGTACGTCAACCGTTTTCTCGGGATGCACCAGGATACGGAAGAGATCCTGACTGGTAACGGGGCTGAATTCAGAGGAGAGGTGCTGAAGAATCTGGTCATACACGGCGTCGCCATTCGGAATACTTCGCCCCACATGTCACAATCCAATGGACTGGTAGAAAACGCGAATAGGGTGATAAAAACGGCGTTGCGATGAAACATCGTGGCGCGGGATTCAAGGCTCTGGCCCGATATCGTCGACCACATCCTGGCGGTCCATCACGGAACGCCTCACGAATCAACAGGGCTAAGCCCCTTCCAATTAAGGACCAATAGCATTGATTGAGTATCGATATCGAGCCTCCCTGATGAATCCACGCTGACCCGACGGCCCATCAGGGCCGCGGCTCGGGACAAGGCCAAACGACACTTAGAATTAATGGAACGGTCCCTGCCCAGGCTAGCCCGAAAACGGCACAGAATGACTGAGATGGCCCAAGGCCGACAGGTCTGAAGCTACGAGGCTCGGAATGGGAACACGGGTCCACGGCCCCAATACAAATTAGGGGACATCGTGCAGGTGAGGAAATGTGCTCGCCAGGGTAAGCTAGCGCCACGATTCTTCGGGCGATTTCGCGTGATCGAACTCGGATTGAACGGCGTGAACACCGTGCGGCTCGCGCCTGAGGTCTCCAGCAACCGATCGGCTCGCCCGATCATCCGCCACATGTCCTACCTTCGTCCCCTTCCTCCTGCTCCATCTTCGCATTCTTTTTTGATTCCTCCTCCGCTGAGGAAGAAGACGACGACTGCTTATCGCTTGCCTCTCCGTCTCCCTCTCGTTCTCTTCCCATTACTCCGTCCCCGTCGCCATCGCCATGAGTTTTCTTACGGAGAGAGCTCTCGGCAATTCGCTGCTGGTGCGGTGTCACATCTCGACGATCCGACAAGTTAATCATCCACAACTCAGTTCAGATCTTCGGCGACTTGCGCAGTTCTTCTGTACCCAGGGAATATACGCAGCGGCTGAGTTTCGTTTTGCGGGAAGCCCCCGGGCGATTGTTCTGGCAGAGGCGGTAGGAGTTCATCGGCGGTCGGCTCCGGGAATCAGCCACGTGTCTACGGTGGTCGCTTTCAGTGGAGACATCAGCACCATCGGCCCGTTGCGGCATACATCTGTCAAGACGATGCTTCGGCTGTGGGCACAGCAGTTGGCGGCGGAGTGGAATCGTTGGCTCACGCCTCCCGGAGACAACCTTTTTCCTACGGACGACGTCGATTTCGACGGGATCCGAACCTTCCAGCACGAGCCGACGGTGGTGCTCCCGGAACTCATCCCCTTCCCCCGTCCTCAATGAACCCCTCCCCGATCTCCACATTCGATCTCCCCTCCTTCTTCCCCACCTTCTGGCAGTCCGAAGTCCACCCGCTTCTCTCCTTTCGTCTGGAATCACTTGCTGTCCCCCTCCTCGACCCCTTGCAGTGGAGACGTTGGCAAGAACACTTCGTAGAGCTATCGGTGTATCTGGTCGGGGTAAGCGTCACGTGGACGCGGCACAACGATCACCGTAAGTGGGCTGAGTACCTCGAGTTGCTGATCATCCAAGCGTGGCGAACGAAAGTGGAGGGCGATCAGCTTGGATTTCTCTTCGGGTCGGTGCGACACGATCACCGCCAACCAATCGCGCACGAGTTAACGATACCCCTCGCGCAGCTGGCCGACGATCTCCCTCTTGAGATCGTCTCGCAGAGCGACGATAGCCCGACCCCGCACGTTCTCACGCGGACCTTGGCACCATATCTTCAGTGGTCGGCGTGCTTAGAGGAACCTGGAAGCAGCCGTAACCCGCCGTCACAGCGCGGTTACCTGGACCCGCATGAAATAGTTGACCTTGCCTTCTTCCAAGATCGGACCGCTTCCGAGAATGAAGACGTAGAAATTGAAGCGGAAGAAGAAAGCTCAGGAGAAGAAGAAGTAGAAGAAGAGGCCGACGAGGAAGAAACTCTCGAAGAAGGGAGTTACAATGAGCACAGCGAGGGCGAGCAGAGTAAGGAGGAGGAAGAACAAGACGACGACGACGAAGAAGAAGAAGAAGACTAGGAGGAGCTGGAACAATCGGAGTACGAAGGATTCGAGGAAGAAGTGCGTGACGAGGCCCGGGCGCAGGCCCAGGTGCAAAAGAGGGAGGAAATCGCGGCCGGAAAGAGACAGCTGGAGTTCGCCAGCGCAGCAGGCCAGCCGCTCATCGACGATCCGGCCCGGGATCCCCAGTCGCCTAAGCCCGAAGATGGAGCGACAGCTGGCGAGACTTCGACCACACCAGCAAGACGGCGACGGAGCCGATCCCCCTCCCCCTCCACCACCAGCCGCTCATCAACTCGTCCACGTACTGATGCGGGGCATCGGGCTTTGTTCCCGGTCCTTATCCCGCCATCCCCTTGATCACCTCTCCTTTCGCCAGATCACCACCCGCGTCACCTTCCCCGCCAATCCTTTCCCCATCGATACCTTCCGCTTCTTCTACACTACTCGTCTCGCTGTTACTGTTCACCACCACCCTTCCACCCGATGCGCCCAACCTGTCTTCTGCCTCCATATCCTTTTTCTTAGTGCCGCGTGGCGAGGCCACAACATGATCGAGGTATATTGCATGATTACGGGAACTATCCCTGCATGCAAGAACCACGATCACTTTCGAGCGGCCCACTTCCGAACTTTCACCACCCTCTATCCTGACTACCTCGCGTCCCTCCCTCACACAGGCAACCGATTCCCCCGCTTCCACCCGATTGTTCGTTATCAGGAACTTCCAGAGGCAATGGTCGGAATGGAGAGCTTCCTTCCCCCGCTACCTATTATCCCTCCCCCTCGCCACCCCTCCATGTACCGTCTCCCCTTTCCCCTCCCCGGCGCTCGCTGATGCATGGACACGTGTCATAACGGCGGCACGTGTAATCCCCTCCTTGGATTGTCAATCGCCCTTCCTGAGGAAATAGTAGTAAAACTTGCATGCCATATTGGATGACGTCCACACTTGATTGAACGGTAAGTGGCATAGAGAGAAATGCTCCTCGTGTCGGTTGATTAGAGAAATCGACACGTGTCAACAAGCAAGCAGGAGCTTGCTAATATTGGAACCCCCTGGGCGTCACATATGTGACGGACCACTTTCTGTAACGCGCGACTTTCTGCGCAGTTGCAATGAGGGGTCCTAAGTTGGGAAGGTTGGGCCAATTACGGGAGATCGGGATCGGTGGGAAATTGCATCAGTGTCCTTGCTTTTTCGTCCTTTTTTTCGTCGCTTCTTTTCGAATGGTTGGGTTTGGAGCTGGGTGTGTCCTGGGACGGACGGTTGATTGATTGGTTGGTCGGATGGCTGGCGCGCTGCCGCGCGCGCGATTAATAAATGTTGACGTCGTTTCTTTTGTTTCGGTTCCAAACTTTTGGGCGCAGACATCGCGCGGGAATTTGCTTCGTTCTTTTTTAATATTCCTTTTCGAATTTTGTCGAGCCCCGATGGCTCTCGAAATTTCGGACTTTTTCTTCTGGCATTTGTGCTTTTTGCTTCCTCTCATTAGATAGGAATTTAGGAATTTTGTAATTAGGATTTCCTTTGCCGCGCGGCGCTTTTTGTTTACGCGCTTCTTCATGCGGCCGCAACGGAACTCTGATTAGTCGGCGCCTTTAATCGTGTGTGTAACTGTAACTTTAGGCGGGCGCCATTATAACTGTATCTTTCTTCTTGCGCTTCGTCTTTCCCGCCCTCTTTTCTTTCTTTTGCTGCGTTTTTGGTAGCCGCGATCTGCATGATCAGACCGATGCGAGGAGAGCGGCTACGTCCCCCATGCCGCGATCAGACCATGCAGAGGTAGGCGGTCCCTCCCTCTTCCCTTCTTCTAATCCCGTGTCCTTCGCGCATGCATGCACGCTATAAATTCCGGCTGCGCGATTAGTTAACTCTCTTAACCAGTTGTTGGAAGCTCGGGGTTGCGCGATCAGGAAGGGTCGGCACATGAGCGAAGTAAGAGGTGAGTAGAGCAGGAGTCGGGCGACCCGACGAGCTGGTGCCAAACGCGCGGGGTTGACGTGGGCCACGACGGACTGTGGGCGCGAGCGAACCTGACGGGTGCGGGAGGACCAAGCGGGGTGACGACTTCATGGGTTGGTGCGTGACGACGGACTATCCGCATCGGAGAAGAAGAGAGAGAGGAAGAGAGAGTTGAGGTTGATGGACGCGGAGTTGCTGTTTTCTTTGATCTTTTCTCCCTCCTGTCTCGTGTATATAAGTTTTGATTTCGGCTCTGGGCGGTTTGCCCGATTTTTGTTTATCGAAATTTGGACTTGGGTTTTTGCTCACACTTGTCCTTGCGATTTTTCCCACCTCCGAGGCACTGTGGGTATGATTGTTGAATGTATGGATGTATGGATGCCATGATAGATTGCTTATCTTTCTACCGGATCCTTGTCTTTGCTTTTTGTTTGTCGCATTCGATGCACTCGTGTGTAGAATAGGAAATTTGCGCAATCGATAATCCTGTCCTTGTCTTTGCTTGTCCTTTGATCGAGCTGTTGTGATCGTTGCATCTTGCATACTCAGAACATCACGGAGTAATTAGGCGATCCGATGCCGGGCTTGGCGAACGCCGCGCGAGGACACGTGTAAAGTGCGATCTGAGTTGCGCACTTACGCGTATCCCCGGGCGTCGACTCGTCAGGACCATCGATCGCAGATGCCCTATCCGATTGGGAGTGGCCATCCCGGAATCCGCAGCGGCACAGTCGTCCCGCACGAGCACGCATAAGTCCGACGCCATTCGCGTGGCCTGCACGTGCTCGCACGTGGCGGCCGCGATCGCCACGGACCCGCTCTGAGGCAACTCATAATACCGCAATGACATAATGACGCGATGCTGGAATTCCGACTCATCATACGACCCAGATTAATTCACCCCTTGGATAAACGAAATCCTGAGGCAAAGATACCCCTGCCACACTGAGAACCGACTGTGTCCCCGGGAATTCCACTGCGCCACCTCTAGCGACCCCCGGTGTTCTGATTTCCCTTCTCCGGACCATACCTACTACTTCATCCACCCCGGATTTGTTGTCATCACCACCAGTTTCCCTCCCTTTCACCTTCTTCTTCCGTATCATCAACTCAGCGTCGTTCCGTGGCCGGCCATAGCCCCCTACTGGCCCAGCACACCCTGCGAGAACTGCCGACGACGCGGCGATCAGAGAACCCCGGAGTTCCGAAGGCCTAACCCGAACGCGCGCCGGCCAGCGCCACGTGGCAACTCCCGACAGACGGGCTCATCGGAATCCCACCTACCCCGAAGGGACCCGCCCGCGAACCGCCATCCCTGAAACCAGTGGCTCGCTCGGGCTCGAGCGACCCGCGCATACCATCTGCCCTGAAACCGAACACGCCCTCTCCGCCAAATTACACTTGTGCCCCTGAAAGACCCTGTCACAGGAGATCTGAGTTCCGACCTGAGACTCCACTTTCCCAAAAATCCTTGGCACAACCCTTTTCGCACTTCCAGGCCCCCATCCTAGTCCGATCAGGAAGTCGCGCTGGGCGTGAGGTTGGGCGTTCCCTTTTTATACATTAGCATGATAATCCCCTTCATCATTGCTTTCGTCAGATTACCCCTAGTAAGGACTGCATTGTAAATGTTTAGCAGGTGAGGGCTGATGTTAGGCCAGCACGGAAGATAAAGTTCAATAGGGAGACCGTCGTCTCCCGGACATTTCCCTAAGGCCATACACTTTGCAGCATCCAGCAGTTCCTCCTCGTTTACTGGCCTATCCAGATCCAGCCTGCTAGAATCTGGAAGTTTTACCTTAGAGTACTTCCAAAAGTCTGAGTACTCTCTCTGGTCTGTGTGAAAGCCCTCAAAAGGTCTGCGTGTAGAAAGGATATCTTGAAGATACAGAAAGGATATTTTGAAGATACAGACAGGCAAATTCACACATGTCGTTAAGATCATCAGATACTTGAGGGATCAAAGAGAAGGGGTGGGCCAGATCAGTCATCGGAGTTTTTGCTGATTGAAGCAATAGACGTCTGAAGGTTTGTTTGGTCAACCTGTCTCCTGTTATTATGTTCCTCTGTGCTAGCCATTCCCTCCACTGTTCCTGCTGTTTTATTTCCAGTGCTTCCAGTTGCAGAATCACTCTTTTCCTATACTCAAGCCAATAGGCATCCCAGATGGGGTGTTTACCAAATTCCTTTTCCGCCCTTTTCACTTTGTGCAGCAATCTCGATTCCTTCTGTTTCCTGTGGGTGGCTTTTAATTGAGAAATGTTCTTCAGAGAGCCTTGAAGGATACTAAATCCCACGTCCAGCCAAGCCTCATCCGAGTTAAATAAGGGTTTGGCCTCTACCCAGTCATCCCAGTGTCGTCGAATCCACTCCACTAGCTCCGGGTCCTTGAGGTGTTGGGTGTTGAACTTGAAGTAAAGAGGGGCCAAATTTTTGAGGGCCAGTAAGTTTGAACTGGGCTACCACAGGCTGATGACTTTTATTTGGGCAAAAGAGGAGCCGCAAAATCGGACTTTTATTACAGGCATGCCCAAGGCAGTATCCCCCTTAGACACTCCTCGCCCGATTTTTACTGCAAAAGAGGAGTGGCAAAAGGGGGATACTGCCTTGGGCATGCCTGTAAAAGTCCGATTTTTTCGAAAAACAAGGGGAAAGAACTCGCTCCCCTTTTGCTGCCGTCCCTTTTACCGCCTGTTCTCGCTCGACATCGCAGGCGGTATATGTAATTGAACTGAACAGTCAAGAGCCGCCCACAGTGCCTCTTCGTTGTGCAACCCCTTGATGCCACGTGTCAGTGAGTCGTGCCAGAGTGGCGGACGGACGCACTTAACGACGTTTCACTTCCGCAGCCTTGAGACTTCTCTCGCTGTGAATGAACGTGAGCTACGTTGACGATCACGTGCGCGTTAGGAAAAGCAAAAGAATCGGAATCCTTTGTGACCAGCCGCGGGGCCAAGGTCCCACTTGCACGGATTAAGAGATTCTGGCCGTTGATCGTTGCTATCTCCGGTCAAAATAGCTTAATTCGTGTAAGTGGGACCGCCCCGGTAGGCGAAGTAGATTTTGGCCGATGATCTTTGCTATCTACGGTCAATATCTCTTAGTTCGTGCAAGTGGGACCTAGCCCCGGTTGTGGATACGCTCTTTGGCAGTGATTGCATATTGCTGGCGTGGCGGGATTGTGGCTAGAACCGCGTTTGCGGGAGGATAGCGGACAGAAGTGCTTTTTGGCGCGGGTTCTGTTCGATCGATTTTTGGCGGGGTGAGGAATGGCGCGGGTTCTGTGCGATCGAAAATTCTTGCCGTGTATTTATTCACAGTACGGTATGACCCCTCTGGTCGCACCTGACCGCAAATAGGTACACGTTCGGGGAAGATACGCGAGTACGTGGTCGTCCTTGCTGTTAGCCGTGGCACTCATGGGCCACTGGTAAATGATAAGCTATGAGTGCAGACTTCGGGTTAGCGCCGAACTTAGAGGTATAGCGGGGAAGGTAGGCACAAGCAGAGTCGAAGGGGGGCGAAGCACAGGTGGAGCGGGGGTGAGCTGAGTGCCGCGACAAGCGCGGCCAACTACTGGGTTGTTGATCTCCCGCTGCGAATCACCTGCCTCTGCAATGCTGTGGTCGTCCGCGGCCACTGCCGCTCTCGCCCCCGGCACTGTCCTTTCCTTGTGTTTCTTTTTCGTTGCTGCTCGTGCCACCTGTTTCAAGCTGCCGGCGCCGAGGCGGGAGGAAACCACTTCGATTCATTCGGTTCTACCTGTGTAGTGCAATTATCTCCCACTCGCTCGTTGTAGCGCTTTTACTGTACACCTCGGCCGCCGGAATTTCCTCTCTCCTGGCGTGTGTGTGTGGGGCTGTCCCTTCTCCTCCCCCCGTCCGTGTGTGTGTGTGTGTGTTGTGTGTGTGCGTGTGTGTGTTGTGTGTGTGTGTGTTGTGTGTGTGTGTGTATCCCCTTCTCCCCCGTGTGTGTGTGTGTGTGTGTGTGTGTGTGTCCCTCCTACCGTGTTGCGCGCAGGGTAGGTGGTGTCACAGTCATCCTCAGCATTACTTCAAAGGCGAGTTGAACGAGCGGGAAGTGAGCCAGTTTTTTTTCCCTCGCAAAACCTCGCCGGGCTCCGATCCCGCCCCCGCGTCGGACAACGACAACTGTCACAAGTAGGCCTGTATTTCTCCTTCTGCCGTCAAACGAAGAGACATACACTACACACGCCCGTACACAGACTCGAACATCTACCTCTGGCACTCCATTGTGTATGTGGGTGTGTATGTATCTGTTGTGTGTTCACTAAACACCACTCAACCATAGAAAAGGCGTGCCTGTGGCAGACTGACTCTTTCGTTGTGCATATGTGTATATTTCAGAGAGAGAGAGAGAGAGAGATTAATTGGTACGTTGAATAGGGGAATCGAAGGGAAGCAAGATAAACATGGCGGCCGCTGCCGGTGCCACGTCAAGAGGCTTGGCAGCGAAGACCACGTGCTCAACTCTTGCAGGGGCCGGCAGAGGCGACAGCGCTGCTTCCTCCTCACGTCCACAACCCCCGTCGGGAGGAGCGGCTACCCTGGCCGTACCATGGAAAGGGAGGAAAGGGAATTTCACCGAACCAGCTCCAGCTCCAGCTTGCAGAATGGAGAGTGGTAGTGCATTTCGATTTCTGTCGAGCGCATCGTCCCGGTGGCGGGGAGCGCCGTCTTCCGATCATCAGCTTCCGCTGCAAAGCGTCGCGGAAAACAGACGATGCCCGAGGTTGTCCCGTCATCGACATGACAAAGATAGCCCCACGTTGTCCAATCCAGCAAACAATAATTGCACACGTGTCAATGCCGTCGTCCAGCAGACAGCTACCGGTAGTACATCGACGGTCAGTCGTACACGCCAGCAAGGAAGCTCGGCCGAAGTAACGGGCAAGCCAACGGTACTGGTGGCGGAAAAACTCGGCGCGGGGGGAATCGACCTCCTGAAGAAGGTAGCGAATGTGGATTGCTCCTACAACTTGACGCCAGAGGAGTTGTGTGCGAAGATCTCCCTCTGTGACGCGCTGATCGTGCGGAGCGGAACCAAGGTGACAAGGGAGGTGTTCGAGGCTTCCAACGGTCGATTGAAGGTGGTAGGTCGGGCAGGTGTCGGGATCGACAACGTGGATTTGCAAGCCGCCACCGAGGCTGGCTGTCTCGTGGTCAACGCGCCCACCGCTAACACTGTCGCGGCAGCCGAGCATGCTATCGCCCTGCTATTGGCGCTTGCAAGGAACGTGCCACAGGCTGACAGCAGCATGAAAGAAGGTGCGTGTTTTCTCTTCCGTGACCTCCCTGCTGACGCTACCCTCCCCACGTGTCTCCCATGGATTGGTATGACCGTCCGATTCCCGCTGTTGTTCTCTCTTCTCTTCTCCACCTCTCTCCCTGTCTCTCTCACACACAATGTCAAATGGACGACTCTTCTCCTTGTATCGCCCCTCCCATGTTCCCTCTCTCTCTCTGTCAGCACTCTCTCTCTCTCTCTCTCTCTCACACACACACACACACACACGCATACAAACGCGCGCGCGCACACACACACAAATGTGCGCGCACCCACAGACGCGCGCGAGAGCATACATACACGCGCGCACGGACGCAAACTCATGTTCTTTCCCTCTGTCTCTCTCGCTCTCTCACACACACATGCAGATACAGAGAGGGAGAGAAGTACAGGTGTTTTCTCCTTGCCGCCTTGGTCCGCCCCTACCTTCTTCCCCGTCTGCTACTGCAGCGGCCAAGATCTTACCATTGCCCTTCTCCCCTCCATCGTTATTACTTGATCTAATTCTCCCTCCTAGCTCAGTTTACCCCCAGAAAATATGCCCTGATGTTACTTGATCGGCCTGCTGTGGATATTCATTACCATACTGAGTCATCAAGGAAACAAAATTGCCATCGAGACTGGCCCGCTGCTCGTTGGCCAGCTTCGTGAGTGTGCGGGCCACGTGGTCGATTATAAACTGGATGCATGCAGAGACGGCCCACATCTCAGATCTTTGAATTCATAATCGAAGGCCTTACTAAGGCACAAGAGGAACTCTTCGTTGCGCAAGACCATCCAGATTACGAAAAGCAACTACATGAAAATGAATTACATCACCCTTTTCCTTGTGTTTGGCCGAACCATTCTGTCCAATCGAAACCACCGTCTTCACCCTAATAGAACGCCCGGTCATTATAGCTGTATTTGGCACAACTTTCAGCCCAGATACGGCGATAATTACCGGGCGTTCTATTCGGGTGAAGACGGTAGTCTGATCGCGCGTCCACCTGTGTTGACTGCTTGCCTGTCTGCTGGCCACATCCGCTTGCCTTTCCCGCCTGTTTGCCACCTCCTTCCCACTCACTTCTCACTTCCCACTCACTTCCTGCTTGCCACGTGCTTGCCACGTATGCATGTTCTTGCCACGTTGCTTGCCACGTATGCATTTGCTTGCGACGTTGCTTGCCACGTGTGCATGTCCTTGCGACGTTGATTTGCCACGTATGCATGTGCTTGCCACGTATGCATGTGCTTGCCACGTGTGCATGTCCTTGCCACGTTATTTGCCACGTATGCATGTGCTTGCCACGTTGCTTGCCACGTATGCATGTGCTTGCCGCGTTGCTTGCTTGCTACCTTGCTTTTTTTGTACTCAGGCATTTCAGAAAAAAAAAGAGGTTGATGAAGGTGTTCTCATGTCCTCTCTCTGGTACTACGCACGCACCCAACCTCCTGAGCGTACTTTGTGTCTCTCGTTCGACACATCCAGACAATCCTAGACAATGCTTTTGTTTTCTCTCCGTTCCACTGAATCCTATTTTTATTATGAATCTTGGAAAATAATTAGCGACAGGTGTGAAACAGACATTTCTAGGACGCCTATGGTTTCTAGGAGGGCACTATCATTTCTTCCGAATTCTCAAAAACGTACCTCGCGAGTTTCCTTGGAACGCTAGGACCGAATCCTTTGGAGTGGGACAGGGCATCCCCGAAATTCAATACGTGGTGGAGCGCCCCCCCCCCGGGGGGGGGGGGCCGAGGTCCCACGAGTAAAGAGGATTGGATAAACCTCCTGAATCTGGATGCGTTTTATGCAGAGATGCAGAAAAGCATATCAATCGCCGATTTCTGCACATCTCCGTAAAGACGTCGAGATTCAGGCGCGAAATCCAATTCACTTTGCCTGTGGAAGGACCTCGCAACCGGCTGGTTCTTTTTAGCTTTTTAAAGCTATATTCTTCTCTCAAATTCACCTCACACTACCTACCTACCTACCTACCTACCTACCTACGACTATATAGAGGGGACCCCTGCAAGCATAGGGCCTCGCAAACGAGGTAATTCATGTTGCCCCTCGGGGGGTGGGGCCGCCGGTGGGGGTCCGGCTAACGCAAAGACCGAGCATTTTGCCAGTAGCTGCGCCTCCCTTTCTCATCGTCCCCCACCCCTCATCGAGTAGCAGCAGAGGCTATGGCCAACACTCTCCCACACACCACACACAACCCACTCGCACCCGCACTCACACCCGTGTTGGTCATAGACCCCGCTATTACCGATCAGGGGTATCCGGAGGACTATCACAGTCCGTTGGCATGCCTGGTATATTTCCCCCCCCCCCTTTTTTTTTTTCCCCCCCTAGATGGCATCCTACCTTAGGACTCAACTGTGTGGAACCAGCCAAGCACTGGTTGAATGATGATTTGCATTTTGGGAAAAAAAAAGAAAAAAAAACGAAGCACTGGTTTAGGCTGAACTAAACGAAAAATTATCTAGGACGCGTCCTACAGGGCAAAGGGCAAAGTGAATTGGATTCCCCCCCCCACCAAAAAAAAGTGAATTGGATTTGGCGCCTGAATCTTGACGTGGTTACCGAGATGTGCAGAAATCGGCGATTGATATCTAGAACGCTTCCCACTGGAGTTCCTGGGTGCTTCTCGATGTGTCGAACAGAACCACCACCCTTACGACGCTTGCTGGCTATAATTGGCAGCACGCACTTTTTTGGGAAAAAGCAGACATTTTCTCTATAATTATGCTATTCTTCTCCTCCGATTCTTTGTTTTTCCCGACCCTCTTACCTCCCCTAGAAACTACCTTCGCTTTAATTAATTGTCAACATTAAATTTGAATTTTGAGGCAAAATTAAAATTAAAATTAACATTAAATGACAAAATGTCGACATGCATGCATGCATGCATGCTTACTATGCTTAGCGACTGTGCTAACTAAGTTAACTGCTCATTATTTTTTTCTGTATGATTTGGAACACGGATTCTTCTTCTTTGTACTTTTTCCTGTTTTTAATCTTTCCCACCTTTAACCTTTAAATGCCAAAATGTGCGTGCAGAATGCCCAACAGACTCGAACCGAATAGAGCGCCGTGTATTTGGGACAACTTTCAGTCTACATACAGCCACAATGACCGGTCATTCTATTCGGCTGAAGACGGTAGCCAGAGCCTGAACATTTCGGAACGAACTCCTTCAGACTCAAATAATCTTTCGCCCGGTCACCCCCTCCCCTGGCGCGTGCCGTGGCGTGGCTGGTCACTTGGGCTAAGCCCTTTTTTTTTTTTTTTTTTCTTTTTTTTTTTGCATGACGGCAGTAGTGGAGTTAGCCAGCCGATCACTTCATTTTTCTTCTCGCTCGTAAATGCTCGTTCTTTTTACAGAGCAGTCCGCACATCGATGTTAATCTAATGGGGATGTCAATACTGTAATATATGGATAAATGTTTATGGAAATATATATAATAAGTTGTTGATCACTGTGACAGTTGTTGAGGAGCCTTTCATCTCTTTTCCTGGGACGTGAATCTGTTATGTCTGGCGCTGGCTACCGTCTTCAGCGGAATAGAACGCCCGGTCATTGAGGCTGTATGTAGACTGAAAGTTGTCCCAAATACACGGCGTTCTATTCGGGTGAGGACAGCAGCCGTTTGGAGAGGAAGTGATGCCTCGTTGTCCCTCGTGCTCTACCGGCCTTTTTTCTTTTCTTTTTTTTTTTGGTGCTCTGTGACAGCTTAGGACGTGTGGCTGCACCACCCGCCATCCGCCAAAATTGTGGTCGAAACGTTGGCGGATGGCGACTAGTGCAACTACGCCCTTAGGCCCTTGCAAGAATGAATCCGATTAGGCATCCGCCAACTAGTGCAACTAGGCCCTTAGGCCCTTGCAAGAATGGCCCTGGCAAGAATGAATCCGATTAGGCCCTTGCAAGAATGAATCCGATTAGGCCCTTGCAAGAATGAATCCGATTAGGCCCTTGCAAGAATGAATCCGAT